CACCAGATTCGCTGATCAAAGCAGACGACTTTTGCTAAGATTTCATTTTTCGGCAAGAAACTCCTCTAAATATGCAAACCCAGAAGCAAATTGAGAAACCCTTGAAACCCCCAACAACATCCGGGTCCCCTTGATGCAAACATCACATTCAACCACGAGATGAGGATAGAAAAACTCAATCAATGCCCTTAAAGAACAAGGGAAACGAAACTACGACAGAAGGTAGGAAAAATACGGCAAAAGTTTCATGAATTGTGGTGCAAATCTATGCCTATGTGACAAGGAAGAGGGTGAGAGATATTACCTCTAGCGCCTTATGGGATCCGATGAACAAGGAGGAGTCGAATGCTCATGCACCTGGTGGTCATGCTGTGATGGAGCTGGAGACGCAAGGCAGCAGCTCGCGCGCGATGGTGCCGATGGCAAACAGCAGCAGTGGCAGACGCAGACTGGTGGTTGCCTGGACAGGCTTTCCTTGCGTTGTTCCTTCGTAACCTTGCACCGTGGCTCCCTCAAAACTTTCTGTGGGTTCGCCGACCAAGTCTCTCAACCTCCCAGATTTCCCCTCATCCCGTTTGTTAGCTCTCCAGATTTTTCCTGCCCAGAAACTCTCTCAACCTCCTTCAAAAGCTGCGTTTTCTATCTCCTCCCCCTCTCCTCAGATGTCCAACCGTCACTTTTCTTGATTCCTCTCCCTCAATTCAACCTGTTTTTGTTTTCTCCAGCCCTACCACTCTTGCGTTTTTTTTCCTTGATCCTTTCTTTTCAGTTTTTTCCGCCGCCGCACCACTTTCTTCTCTAGTTTTTTCTTTTGCCGTTCGTTCGTTCCTTCCCCCTTTGCGGCTACTGGCTCTCTTTCTATTTATATGGAACCTCCCTCACCCTAAAACCTCCAGTCCTTTCTTCCATATTTGCTGCCAAGGAGCTGCCCAAGAGCCTTCTTTGCAAGCTGCGACAAAACGCAGCTTGCATGCCGCATTACACTTTTTTTTTTTTTTTTTTGAACTTAATAACTTAATAAATGCAGAAATGATAAAATATAAATAATAATAATAATAACAAATTGCCAAAAACCAGGTAATAATAATAATAATAATAATGAAAATAATTTAAAAACAAAAAACTAAACAAAAATGGCCACTTTTAATTTTTTTCAATTTTTACTTTTCATCCTTTTCTTTTCTCAAAATAACTTAATAAAAATAACTAAAGTGCCCAAAGATTGAATTTAAAGAAATAAACATATTTTTGTGAACAAATTTTCCTTTTTTCTTTTTTCTCTTTTTTTTCATTTTCCAATCCAACTAAAGCCTATTTTTCCTTTTCCTTTAATTTTCTTTTCTCCTTTCTTTTTTTTGTGATTTTTCATTTTCATTTCTCTTTCAAGAAAGCTTTGAATAAAAACAAAATGACTAAAACATATTTTTGATGTCTTCCTTTTCTTTTTTTTCTAAAAAACTCTACGCTAACTTTAAACTTAAAAGCTAAAACCAAAAATTAAAACTAAAAGTAAACAACGAATGCAAGCAATCTAAAATGAAAATCATGAAATAGATGCCACATAAAATTATTCAAAATTTGGTGTCTACAATTAATTTAAAATTCAATTTTGTTTTAGGTGCACTTTTTGATGTACGCGTTATATGTGAAATTATCCAGATGAAGTTTTGTGCATATAAAAAATTATCTAGGTGACATTGTATGTTAGAATGTTTATTTCATTGGTTGGAATCATCATCTAATAGGATAAGTTTAAAGCTCAAAGAAATTAATTTAGTTGCAGAAGATAAAATGGTTAAAGAATGGCTATAATTGGATATGTTATGTGAATGTTTGACAAATCTATGTATATATCTGAAAGGACAGTGTTAAAAATGTTACTATATAAATGATTAAAAAATGAGACTAATCACATTATTTCTCAGATTTGACAAATCAATCTTATTAATCATGGAATAAAATGGGCTAAAGTGATAAAGTTGTAATGGGGTGAATGATTTTAACATGAACTAATCAAATTATCCAAAATTATTTTCTTTGCTTATGGAAGGAAAAAGGGGTTAAAGTTTGAAAACAAACTATAAATAATTTATTAAGCAATCATTTTAAGTGCGAAAGAAAGTTTTAAATTTTAAATTTGAATTGTCATAGGATTAGTTGTAAATTACATTATTTCAAACCTTTTTATTGAATTTGTATTAAAATAAATGAAAAATTAAAAAATTAAAAAAAAAGTATGGAAGATTTGGAAGCCATCCAGGAGGCGTTCATTAAAACTTCCCCTGCAATACATATAGATATAGATTTTAAGAGTCTGAATCGTACAACCCATGCAACCGTTTAGCAGGCATTCGCTTTGCTTTCATTATACAATTTGCTTAGGCAACAAAGAACCAAAAACCTACTGTAGTGGGCCAAAAAAATCCGTCAATATACTACAGTACTCCTTGGAACTTTTCCCCAATGAATTTAACCGGAAAAAAAAAGCTTTTAAGCAAATAAAGCATTGAATCCTCATTAAAACTAGCTAATGAGATTTTGATCTAGTATTTAACCATCAATATTGAGTCCTTAAGAGTTAGAGAAGTTAGTTCAAAGTCTTGTAATTTTTGAAGGGTAAATTACATTTTACCTCCTTGTAGTTTTGCATTTTTTCACATAATTTCCTTATCGTTTCAAAAGCTATACATAATCTCCTTTTGATTTGAATTAAAGTGTCAATGAGACGAAAATGATCATCTGTAACAAAATCTATAGAAACATTGAGATTGCCCTTGTTTAGAAAGTAGAATGAATGAAGTGCCCAAAATCTATAAATATATTATGCATGACACTTAACCCGTTATGATTTTGTGCTTTACCGTATATTCCCCTTGTGATTTAGTGTTTTATCATATAATCCCTTATGATTTTTAAAATATATACATAACTCCTCTATAGTTAATAAATAATTTTCAACTTTATATTAGTGTACTTTTAACATTTTAGTTGACTATGCTATGGAATGCAAATTCGATTACTTTGACACTTTAATCTAAATCACAAGAGGCTTAATTATGTATAATTTTTCAAATCACAAGTAAATTATACAAAATAGTGCTAAACTATAGGGAGATAAAGTGTAATTTGCACTTTTTAAAATTTGTCCAGTAATATATTATTTGCAAGTACCGTAACCAAACTTATTAACATTCTCTTTTTTTTTTATATCTAATTATTTAATAAACGTCCTTAATTTGTCATGAAAAGATATTGCAATTTTCAGTTGCATTCACGTTGTTTAACAATATAAAAATTTGAAATATGATCCTTTAATCAAGCAAAAAGGGAAAAAATGTAGTTTTGATCCAAGAAATTTGGCACAGGAGATATTCTTGTCACCAAAGTCTGGGCTAAAATAAATCTGGCTCTTAATGTTTCCAGTTTGAAGCATATTTAGAACAATTAATTGATATTTTTCTATTCTCATCGGGATGGAATCACGTGACGACGCTTGCTAGAAATTTCGACCTTGCATTTTTTTTTTTTTTTTTTTAAAGGAGAAAGGAGAAAGAAACGAAGTCGTGATCAGGCACCCACTGACATCAAAATGGGCAAAGCTCTCCATAACACCCCAAATTATTCGCCTCCCTCGAAATAAATTGATCCTCCACTAACTAAACCTCAATATCGCAGAATTGACCGCATCATTTTTGAGTCATACAGGCAATTAAATATACACAAAAATTTGTGCTCCATGAATTTGTCATATCAATTCATTAGATCAAACCGTCTATGATAGCATCCAAATTGTCAGATCAGCTCCCATTTACCAATAGAATCAGTCCACTTACTAATGTTAATCTATAACATAATCATCTGATGCCATCAATTTGCGAAAGCGCAAGGTTCCTACTTCAATTTGTTTTGTCATTTGTGGCTGTGCATGGCTGCCTTTCTTTAGCATAGACCCACGAGAGTAATGAGTTATTCATTTCTACTCCTCAAACAACCTCCTCAAATAGGAAAAAAAATACGTGTGCGCGCATCCCAATACCAAGGAAACGTGTGACGATAGATATTCCTGATTTGATAATGGGGTCTACCTATAAATATGCAATTTGCAACAGCATCACACCAAGCAACCTAGCAATTCAAAAATACAAAAACCCTAGTCAAGGAAAGCAAAGTTGGAGATTTATCAAATATACAAAGCTTCTGAGAAATTAATGTTCTTGCATGTTTTAAGCGGCTCTTCTATCATCACCATCGAATTATAATTTTTATTCTCGAGATAAGCAAATAGGTACATGATTTAGCTTCATCGAGGATATATATTTGTGATCTACAGGCAACATGGGCTTCTAAGAAATGGCAACTTGAACAACTGAAGGAAGAAGTCAGGACGGAGCTTCATGCAACTGCAAAAAATCCTTCACAACAGCTGCAATTGATCGATGTGATTCAACGACTAGGTGTAGAATATCATTTTCAAGAGGAGATCGGTCAGGCTTTACGCAAAATGCATGAGAAACATCAGAACTGGGAGGACATTGACCACATTTATACTGCTGCTCTCTATTTCCGCATTCTAAGACAAGAAGGGTTCAGAGTTTCATCAGGTAAGAGCCAAAGAGTAAAATGGTTTATACCATTAACATTAAATCATAAAATCCTCAATTGTTGACTTTCTTTCCCCGTCCTTTATAACAAAAGGCATGAAAGAGAAACATTTCCATGTTATCACAAAAGGCATGAAAAAGAAACATTTTCATGTCATTTTTTGTTATCAAAACATACGTCCTTTTACCGTTTTTCCACTATGCAGACATATTCAAGAAATTCCTGGATGATGAAGGTAAATTTAGAGAAGATTTGGTTAATGATGTGCCAGGCATTCTTGTCTCAGATTTCGAGACAACACCATTTTAGATTCTGCTTTGGCTTTTAGTAGTAATCATCTTCAGTCATTACCTAACAAGTTAAACAGTCCACTTGATGAGCTAGTAAGTCACGCACTAATGCAGCCTAATTGGAGGGGTTTACCAAGATTAGAGGCCAGGAATTACATATCTGTTTATGAAAAAGATCATTCACATAAGACAACTTTACTAAAGCTGGCTAAGCTGGATTTTAACATGCTACAATCTCTGCACAAGGAGGAGCTACATGAAATATCCCTGTAAGTTTCTTGAAAACAATTCTCTCTAAAAATAAACCAATAGTGAAACTTATTTCTGTTCTTCAGATTATTTAAATCAGTAATCAATTAATGCAAGCTAGCGTAATTCAGGTGGTGGAAAGAATTAGACTTTGCCCGAAAACTTCCATTTGCTAGAGATCGAATTGTTGTGGACTACTTATGGATTGTGGGAGTCTATTTTGAGCCTCAATATGGTCTTCCCAGAAAGATTCTGTCAAAAGTTATCGCAATGGCATCCGTAATTGATGATGTCTATGATGTTTACGGGACTTACAAAGAACTTGAAATCTTCACAGAAGCGATCGAAAGGTTTGATTTGTTCAAATATTAAACTTGACTTTGATATAATACTTTTCCAGTGGAATTTGTTTTAATTGATGTCTTACAACTTCTGCAGATGGGATGTTGGCTGCATAAAACAACTCCCAGATTACATGAAGATTTGTTACCAAACACTCTTAGATGTGTTTGAAGAAATTGAGCAAGCTATGGTCAAAACAGGAAGATCATATCAATCATATTATGCGAAGGAAGCAGTAAGAACATGCTCAATTTTTTGTTATATATAAAACACCTTTCTTGTTGGCATATTAAATCAAGATTCAACGGTAGAAATTTTTCACATCATTATTTAATAGTGTTTAAGTTAAGTTAGAGTTTTAATAATTCTATTGGAGTCAACTTAGGGTAGTTTTATTTTTTTAAAATTAGTATTTTATTAGAAAATTTCTTATGGTATAGTCTAGTTTATAATTAGGGAGTCGTATTATTCTAGTTTATATCATTGTTAGTATTATTCCTTTTCTTCCACACATACTTGTATGTGTGTAAATTGCTTTTCCATAAACATTAATTTTATGAATTATATCTCCTACAACTTTTTGGTGGAATTTTTTGAATTCTACATTTCTTCATAGAACAATAATGGCTCACGATCCTCTCTATGACTTCCTATGTCAATGCTCATTAACTTTTTATTTCTGTGTCAATTAATACCTCTTCCACCTATCATGCAAACAATAATATTGCATGTGAAATTACACATGATGAGAAAATAGAGAGTAGAATAGAAATTCGTAATAGTATTTCATGTGAATTACACATAATCAAAAAAATAGAAGAGATATTGGAAAGAGATCAGCACCAAATATAGAATTTATTGTCCTAATTCAACAATCATGTAATAGTTTGTCTTTCTTGTAATTGAAATAGCCGATTTAGTTGCCTTCTACTAATTTGCAGATGAAGATGCTGATTCGTGCCTACTTTGTTGAGGCTAAGTGGCTAGGGATGGCAATGGGGGCGGGTGAGGGGGTTGGGGCGGGGGCTAGGGGGATTTTTTTCCCTCCGCTTAGAAACGGGGCAGGGGATGGGGGAGTGTACCCCTGCCCCATCCCCCGCCCCGCCACCCACTTTAAAAAAATAAATATATAAAATATATATGTATATAATTATATATAATATTTAAGAACAGGGGAGGGGAATAGATGACTTGCTATTTTATGCCATGTGATGATATTTTGTGGATTTAAATGCATTAGAAATGTTAAAATTGTGCTTGAAAATATTGTCATATGTCAAAATTTCTTGAAATTGGGTTTGTTGGCAGGGAGTTTCGTCTAGTTATAAGGAAAAATTCTGTCAAAATTTTTCAGCATCTTTTCCAAAATTTCACTATGGCCTCAAAATTTTCGCAATTTTGCAATTTTGTTTAAAAAAGACCAATTTGTTCCAACCTTAAGCATTGTGCTTCTTTCATTTGTTGAAACTCTATATGTAGAAATGGTTATTATGCAATTAGAATTTTGCATTTTAAAAAGAATATCTTGTAAAGTAGGGAGAATTATGCTTATAACTTTGCATGTTCAATGAGATTTCTTCTCTTTGCTTAATTTTATAAGTGATTGATATAGTCAATAAAAACTATACTCTTCCTTTGATTATTCTTCTGTATTTGCTAAGAGGGAATGCCTTTTTATCGTTTTTTGCCTTAAAAAATGAAAAAAAAAAAAAGAGCATAAGAGTTTTTATTTTACTCCAATGATTCTTGTATTGAGTAACCGAGAGTTAGTATTTACAAATGTCAACATTCGCATAAAAAAGGTACTTGAATTAAGAGTATGCATAGCAACTTGAATAAGTGAAGTATTGAATAGTCGGGAGTTTTCACCTAAAAGTATCGATTTTTGCGTCAAAAGACATTTCACTATTTGAGTAAAAATTAGTATGAATAAGTCCCTCTTAGTTGTGAAATTTGAGAAAAAGATAATTATAGGAGGAGGATAGTTATAAATTGACTATGTGATTTGCTTGCTGTCAAATTAGATTAGGGTAAGAGATTAATTTTAATTTGTTGAAATTAGGTTAGTGAAATCTTTGGGCAGTTGCTAATTTGATAGTCGCTACTCCCACAAATCAAACACTTTCGCCCCTTCCTCCAACAATCATCATCAGTGTGATTTGTCTTCTTACAATATTCACAGGCTAAGCAAGAAGCCACTTTTTGGCCTTCTCGAGAAATTTTCTCCTATCCTATTTAACTTTTTTTTGTAGACCCTTCATCTAGTACTCCTAGTGTCCATGGTGGGTAAGGTGAATGGTTCATTTTTTGCACTTTGAAAGGCATTATCTTTTCTCTAGACTCCTAATATGTACTATTAGATGCACTCCTTTTTCGTGCTTGAAAAGTTTTTACCTGTGCCTTCGCATTCTCAATTCTTTAACCTTTCTCAAGAGATTCCGTAAAAATATTAACTTGAACCACTGCTAAAGCTTCCTGGATCTCCAAATTCAATCCTTGTATAAACCGTCTCACTCTCCTTTGCTCCGTAACCACCAATTCAGAAGCAAATTTATACAGTTTAGTGAATTGCGTTTCATATTCAGCCACACTCTAGATTCTCTGACGCAACCTAATAAACTCATCCTCTTACTTTTCTTGGACCAAAGGTAGGAGGTATTTCTCATTAAACTCCCTTATAAAGTTTACCCACGTCCATGCAGTCTGTTCTCTCTCCCACTTTGCCCTAATAACATTCCACCATGCCCGGACTGGTCTTTCGAATTGAAATATAGCAAAATTCACCTGTTTTTGCTCCGTGTAGTTCAAAGCTACAAAGATATTAATCATCACTTCTAACCACTGCTTAGCTGTCTCTGGATCAAGCCTTCCAAGGAATTTAGGAGGAACAAACTTTTGAAACCGCTCTAGGGCCCTATCCTCTCCTATTTCAGGGTTCCGAGGTTGATTCACTGGAGTTTGGTCTTGTTGTTCTACCAATCGCGCTAAAATATTGGTCATTTGTTGTATCACTGTCGCCACTTGGTCCCCTGCTTCAACGCTCAGTCCACAATCTTACTCGGCTGCTGTTTCTCTTTCATTCCTTGGTTCTTGTAATTGTCTAACCCCACGGCCACGACTAGCTCCACGTCTGCGACTACGTCTCCCTTCCATACCCTTTTCTCTCTTTTTTTTTTCAAAAGGTGATATAGTACGTAAACAAAATAAATTGGCTAAAGCGGCAAGATAAAGACAATTTTAAACCATAAAACCAAGAATAAAGAAACATGCTTAGCATATCTATAATACACCAAGTTCACAAAGATACATATCAAGCTGAACAAAATTAAGTGCAACAAGTACTATACATGTGACCATTGACATGTCACGAGCAAAATACATGCAGTGGCAAAATAAGAAGAAAAATACGACATGCCTTCCCAACCACCCTAACTTACTTCCTACAACCTTAAGTTCTTACGTCTCTAGCTTAGGTCATCACTAAACCAGCTGATTCTACTTCTCTCTAGCCGATATTGTCTCATACTCGGTTAACTCTTGAGTACTCGGGTACAAGAATCCGAAATAAGATAATTCACAATTCGAGCCGGCCGGTCCCAAGAGTAAATCACCATATTTGAGATTCCTATCCGACATACATATCTAATTTTTCCCAAGTATCAAGATAAAGGGTTTATACCTATCACATTCATGATTCATAGCTTACACTCTAGAAGAGTACTTAAGTTTTTACTCATTCCCATAACACCAACTCAAGCTCACCCTGCGCAGAGACCACGCAAAATGGCTCTGATACCACCTGTGACAACCCCACCTCTCCCTAGGGCGTACCCCAGGATTTTAGAGGACCGCTTGCCCAACTCTTGCCAGGACTCGTTCACTCTCTTCAAATAAAATAAAGTATAACCTGAAGAATAAGTGAAATAACAGTTCCCAAACTTGGAACGTATACTTACATTAATTTTTATTTCAAACATTCATATAATCCCAAATATAACAAAAGTTATGAATTCTAGATATATTCAACCCTAACCGAGCACTAATGCGAGTACAATCGCAAAAATTCAAAAACTATACTATGCAAGCCTGTACCAGTCTCACGCCATTGCTCGTATCCCTTGTAAAGAAAACAAAAACTAAAGGAATGAGCTAAAAGTCCAGTGAGATTTCCATACAAGTAATCAAGCAATTTAAACAAGGACATTATTCATTGAAGAACAATTAATCAAGAAAACATTCACAATATACAAGCAATGAGAACACACTCATGAAAAGGATACATGCTCATGTGGAACCATTCGTTCATTCATTCGCCAACCATTTTCCTTATCCCTCCAATTATTAGAAAAATATTTGCAAGTGAAAACTTCTCCAGTGTTCTTGACATTCATTCATTGATTTCATTTCTCGCCACTAGCCAATTCACTGGCCAGTTCTCTACCAACCTTTGTGGTCATACTCGAGTATACCAAAACACTGTCCCAGGGTCACCAGCCGCTCGATCAAATCAGCTTCTGGCTCGAGTCGGCTGGCAATGAAGGGTAAGGGTCCAGTTCAGCCAAAAGGCTTACATTCATGCACAAGTAGCATTCAATCATTTAATCATTGAAAATTTCACGTTAACTTAGGTCGAGTGTGATAAAATACACACTCGTCTATCAAGAATTCATTTAATAATCATTGAAAACATTTAACATTCAAGCAAACATTCACAACAATCCACATAGTACAACATACAAAGAACACCCACCAGTTTAAGCAAAATAACGTCAAAAGTTTCCGTCCGGATTATGCCCTTGATCACCGAAAAATCCTAAGAATAACCAAGAAAAAAATATTATGGTTCAACCATCCAAAGTTTAGGTGAACCCAAAGAAAATCCGAGTAATTACTAGTACAAAGTGTAAATATGATTTTCGAGTGAAAAGAAAACATTTAGACTCAAGGACATGAGTAACCAAGAATTTCCCCATCCAATCATAAAACCAGGTTCAAAAGTGTTTAACAACTCCAACGGAAAACGAATGAAACGAAAGCCATGTCAGAATCTGCCTAACATTTGGCCAGATTGCCAGTCGGATTCGAGGCAGTGAACGAAAGAAATCCTTTCATCTTCCCCTATCAATTCGGCCATGTATCCGGCCAATATCTGGCCGGATATACGGCCGGATTTGCTGCCGACTCAAACATGTTCAGGTTGGAAAATCTTCATGGCAAGACTAAAGTTTCATAGCAAGGCTGAAAATTCTCAACCAAAGCTGGAATATGGAACTAAAGCTGGAAAATCCTTATTTGGAAGCTAAAAGTCATATTAAAACTAGAAATCTTCATATCATCTCCCTCAAGTCTATAGCAAAGCTAGATATAATCATCTCATGGCTGGAAAATATGAATCAAAACTAGAAAAGTTTCACCAACTTCACAACCCATGAAATCTTTCGTAAAACTTCCATATTCAAGTAATATATCCACTTAAATGTAAGATTAAAGGGAAAAAGTAGTTTCTTGCCAAGAATACCTTCAATTCCTAAGGAAAGTATCAAATCACAACTTTCTTTTCCAAAGTCACACCACACCAAGCTCCTTCCTTCCTTGTTGCAACCTTCTATGGATGGACTTAGGGTTTGAGGCTAATTTTCCCACAAAATCTTGCTAGAAATCAAGATGAAACTTGAAGGAGTTTTTTCCTTTTTCTCTCCTATCTTTCTCGGCCAAGCTTAGCAAGAAGTGAAGTGTTTTTGGTTCAATTTTTTTACAAGATGAAGACTAAGAGTAGTCTTGGTCAAGACCTTGGATGGATTTTTGACAAATGGCAAGATCACCAATATTTCTACCAAAATATCTTTCTTTTCCTCAAATATTTCCTAATACTCCTTTTTACAAAGTCCCCTTTGTACAAAACTCCCTCATTTCCTCACAATTTATACCACACATCCCACTAGTTGGTCGAATTGGAATAGCTCCCTTATACTTTTGTTTTAACTTATGATTCACTAACTTATTATTAACACTTCTAATCACACACTTCCTCTTACCTAACTCTCACTCTTATCCACCAAATTTAGTACACACACCTCACCAACTAATCACACTACCAAAATACACCAAAACCCTAACTTACTCTAACTTGAAAAGTTAAAGTAAAACTCTTGGCTCAACTAATGAAATCACCATGAAATTTAGGGCTAGTAAATAGTTAAATAATCAAGTAAAGAAACATAGAAGGATATATAAATTAACTTTTTGAAAAAAAAATAGGAGAAAATTCTAAAGGAATTTTCGAGTCCTCACAAGAAATATGTCCTTTTTACGTATATATTTT